GGAGACGATTTTTTTAAGTAATTATCATGTATTATCAATTATAAATAATATTTGTTTTCTGTCCAACTGTATCGGACGGCTGACAGACAGTTTGCTCATTCAGCTGCCAGTCCGAAGTTTAATGTCCTACAATTTGTAGTGAACGGAATAGGAAATATGCTCATGCCAAATAAGAATGTATTTAACATTCGATGCAATCTGTACTTCTTAAATAAAAGTAATATACATCCTAGGCCGGACCAGGTGATGGAGGAAGGCTAGTTGAATTCCTCCACAATAATGCCTGAAATTCACACATCTTTGCTCTCTTCAATATGGTCCCACCAATCACCCTCGCCTCAACGTCTCATCATTGGCCCCGACAACAGTGCAACACGCGTCAGAGTGGTGCAGCGTGTCGTCTCCACACGTCATACTGCCTGAGCCACAAGGCAAGCTAGGCCGCGTCCAGATCACATTTATTATTGTGGGATTGTCGATGAAGAAAGCATCCATTTGCCAGCCAATCATTACAATTATGATAAATGGTCGATTATGCATCAGGGAGCCTTATGGAACATTCTGGAGAGTTTTCTGAGGTTGGACACTCATATGTAGGTGTACAATTGAATGTTTAAAAATATAAAAAAAATAATTAATACACACTCAATGCTCCACTGTAATCATGCACCTTAAAGAGACAGGTTTACATAACTATTGGGCCTATGATCGCAAAATATATTATTATATCTTCTTTGAAGACTATAACTTGTTATTCATGAGTTGCCGGCATAATACTTTTTATTGCCACCTATTGGGATTGCTACTTGCGACTGGTGTTGCTTTGACTAGGTTTCGGCTAGTCATTTCTAATAAGGTGCTAGAGTTTATATGCTGTACCTTTGCTATGCAGGCTTTGGGGTTACGAGAATGGTTACCTCTACAATTTTGATATGGTTGCAATCAACTATATCGATAGGCCGTTCAAGTTTGCGATTTTTCCACATGTCTAACTGAGGTTGTTTGTTAGGGGGACCTTCATTTCGAATGAAAGTACATGATGAAGAGATTCGTTTGTCGATCTCACCACATG